TTTGTTGTGTTGTTGGGTTTATTTTGAGAGGAAATCCTGGGTTGAGTTTTTACCGGTTTCCAATAAACAGTGTTAATCTGAATGAAGAAATAAATTGCATACAGTATCTGTAAATATAAATTGTACCTATTAGATACAATAAATACACATTTTAGTAGTGATTAACGTGAAAAGGGTAAACATTTCAATTCAGTAAAAATCGTCAAACAAATAGGTCGTCTAAATTTAAACAGCATTTAGCATTATTAAAAGCGTTGATTAAGAAAGTCTCCACTCAACGGTAAAATACCATTATATTATGTATTATATATAATATATATAATATATTTTGTTGTTTAAAATGCAGTTATCGGCTTTTTTTAGAGAACTCAATTATAAAAATGGTTGATTTTAAGGTTATGTTGATGCAAAAATTATTTTTTACTAATTTCTCAAAAATGTCCAAACTTAAATATAAATTATATTAGGTAAAGTTATCATTAGTTAATTCTGCACCAACAAATGTACTTACCGAATTGGATCCTTTGGCAAAACATGAAAATGCAACAATTTAGTTCTTGAATTTTATTAACAATTAAAAACACAATAATTCAACATGATCCCTTAGATAAAATACACACACTAACGTAACTATATAAGCATTTAAGCGTTGAGTTTCTAAATCAATGATATAAGGAATAATCAATCGAAATCGAGTACTAAAAAAGTTTTTTTGTTTTTTCCTTTCAACGTAAAACACAAATAACGTGCGCGATTTAGCTGTGCAATTGAACAAAATTTGTCGAGTAAGACTTCTGCTTTCCTCTCTTTTGTGAAAAAACTACCTATTTATTTAAAAATGATGTATAATCTGTGCTTCAAATGTATTGTTGACAATTCTTAAATTCGCGCAATGCTATCGAAGTCCACCAGATGGCGCGCGCGTTGCGAAAACCCGATACTTCTTTAGCGTATAGCTATGTTTTCAATAAAATGCCTTCATAAAATAACCAAAAAAATTAAATAGTATGGATTTTTTCCGATAAACCGTAATGCGTCCGTCAGTTGGCGGGGTAGCCTACAACTTGTAGGTCACAGCCACCTTTGGTTATCCGCAATGCGAATTCAAATTATAACTACGCATAGTGAATCTGCAATTCTGTTCGTGCCTTATTGTTGTTTTTATAGAGAATAGGGGATTTAAACTGTTTCCCAAAATCAGGTTTTTATTAATTATTCCAGAGAAACATATAATGATTCTTTATTTCAGGAATATTTTTTGGAAATCATTCACGAAAAATGCTATTAAAAAATATAGCATTCATAACGTTGAGGAATTAATCCTTCAGAAATAAACCTGTATTTTTCGAAAACATTAGAAGAACTATGAAAAAACGCGTTTGGTTAATATTTACTTAAATAAGAATTGTTGAAAATTGAAGGTTGAAAATTTCTTGGAAAAAATATAAATCGAAAAGATAATTCTAGTTTGATTTATTTTACGTATAGATTATACTTAAAGGAAAAAAATAAGCTGCTGTTTATAAAAATCCATGGATAAATAGCGAAGTTATACATTTTTCACGACCAAAATTAAGTTTTTCCAGAATTTTTACGTTTTTTCTTTATCTTATTGAATTATATAAAATTTAATATTAAACATTGATTTTTATTTTAAACATTAAATTATATATTGAATATTAAACAATAAATATTGAACATTGAAGAAATTGAAAGTTTTATTTTGTTTTATGTAATAAGCATAGGTTTGAAAAAATTCTGGCTCCCTCTTTGTTTTTTGTTGCTTTCGTATTCTGTTTCTCGTTTGAGGGACCAAATGTAATCTCCCATCATGGCTGCATTCCAGAAGCCTCCATAGCCTTCATTTGCTGGTGTAAACGTTCTCCGTGCTCATCACTTACGTCGCCCAGATTGTGAGGGTTATTTACGCACTCGAACTCTCTACTTCTTTTACACATTTTACACTTTTTATTAACTAAATAAAACCATGATAAAAATACCGTGTTGAAATATCAAAAAATATCAGTAAAATGTCACTACGACAACACGAGAAACAAAAGAATTCACGTTTAAGGAGTCATGTCAAATTTAAATTTTGAATAATGTGTTTTCGGTGATAAAAGTACGTAAAAAACTCAAAAAATTCCAATCATGCACTTTATTTAGGTTTTCATCAAAGAATAAACATGGTAAAAAATAAAAGAAAAAAAAATAGAAATCGGCAAAAACCTGAATTTTGGTCTAATAAAATTATAACTTTCAAGTATTTTTATTAACATTAGCTTGTTTTTTTGTAAAAATGTCAGATTCACGAAAAAAAATTCAAACTGGAGTTATCTGTTTGATTTAAACCTTTTCCAGAACAATATGTAAATTTTTGACCTCAATTTTTGCCATAAAAACAAATTTTTTAAGTTATTAAAATCGCTAGGGTCAAAATACTTATCCGATATCAAAAGTATGTAAAATAAAGTTTTAGAGGGCTCAAATACCTTCAATTGTTTGACCAAATCGATCAATTAGATTTCAAGCTATACTCAAAAACGTCAAAACACCTCCGAAAGGAAAAATTGTAATGGGATATGGTAGACAGAATTTTTTTTCGATTTTTTAAACTAGTGTTTACGGTGTGCCTGAACGAAGTTTAAGTCACATAAAAATGCCGCCAAAAACTGATTCGGGACCCTTTGGTGACTTAAAAATGATATTTACCAAAATCCTAGCTGCTCTTCTTTTCGAAATTTTTTGAAAATTCATGATTTTTTTTTAAATTTCTGTTTATCTTAAAGTTTACCTTTGACAGAGTAGGTACACATTTGTACACCGATTTTTATAATATTGGAATACTTTTTTATACTGTGCACATCATTTAATATAGGGTTAGCCATAAAGCAAATATTATATTGGAATACTTTTTTAATATAATATTGGAATACTTTTTTATACTGTGCACATCATTTAATATAGGGTTAGCCATAAAGCAAAGCAAAAGCGTAAATTCATGATTTTGTCATAACACGCAAAAAAGATATATACCAACCCATGTTTTTTTAGATATGTTTATGTTTATCAGGCTACAAAATGGGATTCTTATTAAGACTTTATAAGAAAAATTGATTTTAAATAAAATTAAATAAAATTTTTGTGAATTATGCTTTTTCCTATATAAAAAAGTGATTTTTGGCTAACCCTGTATAAATCTAATGATGTGCTCAGTATGAAAACAGTATTCTCCAAGTCTCGTTAACAATATTCTCCAATATTATAAAAATCGGTGTACAAATGTGTACTCTGGCAAAGGTAAGGTAAACAAAAATTAAAAAAAAAATTAAGAATTTTCAAAAAATTTCGAAAAGAGGAGCAGCTAGGATTTTGGTAAATATATTTTTAAAGTTACCAAAGGGTCCCGAACAAGAAACTGCAATCAATAAAAATCGGTGTACAAATGTGTACTCTGGCAAAGGTAGATTTTGCGATAAACAAATAATTAAAAAAATGATTTTTTAACAAATTTAAAAAAAGCAGTTAGAATTTTGGTAAATATCGTTTTTAAATCTCCAAAGAGTGCCGATCAAAAAACTTTAACCAGTTTTTCGTTCAAAATTGAAAACTACTAAAAAGCCTAAATTAAACAACATTTTAAATATTCTCTAAGCGTTATTTTATTTAATTTTATTAAAAATCTATTTTTTTTATAAAAGGTTAATAAAAATGCCATTTTGTAAACTGATAAACGTAGAAATATCTAAAAAAAATGGGGATAAATCTTTTTTGCGTGTTATGCCAAAATCATGAAATTACGCTTTTGCTTTATCAAAAATAAGCGATTTTTGGCTCACCCTGTATATATCAAATGATGTGAACAGTATTAAAAAGTATTCTTTAAGTCTCCTCAATAATATACTCTAATTTTATAAAAATCGGTGTACAAATGTGTACTCTGTCAAAGGTAGACTTTGAAATAAACAAAAATTTAAAAAAAATGATGAATTTTAAAAAAAAATTCGAAAAAAGGAGCAGCTAGGATTTTGGTAAATATCATTTTTAAGTCACCAAAGGGTCCCGAACAAGAAACTGCAATCAGTTTTTATAAATAAAAAAATGGCGGATGCGTCGGGATTAGGTAAAATATATATGAAGTTCATTCTAACCAAAATTATTACACATTGTAAATTTTCAGCTATTCAACTACATGACATTTATTTAACTTAGTAACCGATTTCGGTCGAATTTATGTGCAGTTTATTAAATAATTATTAATATTACCCAGACAATTTGGTAATTTATGGGAGCGCATTTTCTCAGCACACGTTTCTGTTAATAATGAATTCCCGAGGCGTTTCATTACAACTCTATTAATTTTGCGGAAATAAGGTAAAGCAAAACGTAAGTTAGGACGCATACAATGTACCTCCGGTAAACAAATTTTATAACTAATATTTGTTTAAGTAAAACCGTTATTGTAATTAGTTTTTAATTTTATTACAATGCTAAATAAAGTTTTGTGTTTTGCTAAATTTTGAATAATAAAACAATTTTGTTGTATTTTAATTCAACTAATAAAAAATTGTTTTAAAGATCGACAAACAAAACAAAAATACACAAATTATTCAGCTCAAAACATTAAACACTACAATATTTATTCGTCGAAATTTCAATTGCACATTTTATAAATATTTCACCATCATTCGTTATTTTATACATGAAAAGGCAAATCTTTTTTTACGACGGCCGGAAAAAATTCATAGGATTTTATAGTTTTTTATCGACTACAATAAAGTAACTGGCTAAGCGCCAACCATTAAAAATAACAATTTAATAGTTTTTTGAATGGCAAATTAAATTTAGAGGATTTATTTTTTTATTTGTCATCGTTTTACAAACGAGACAGAATAAACAGTGCATTTTAAATCGAGAATACTTAAAAGATTAATCGCGAGGAAACTAGGGTTATCTGCGAAATTCGAATAAGTATTTTAATAATATTTAATCTTTTTCAGGGTACCGTTGGAATAGTAACTCCAATAATGGTTACAATTCAGCACAACAGAATTCGTTAATGCCTGAATTTGACGATATACTCATAAGGGAAATTGATGCTACAGTGGGACAAACTTTACTTTTGCCCTGCACAGTGAAACATCTGGGGGATAAAGTGGTGAGTAAAAACATAACTCCTACATTGTTTTTCAATGTAGCACATCGAATTCTATAAAATGCGATGACACCACCCAAAAAGTTTACTTTTACAATAACATGTTATGCTTAAAATTCTAAGGTATTTACTAATAGCAATCCAGAATGTTATAACATTCTATATATAGAATGTTGTAGTTGTGGCACTCGAAAAACTGATTTTATGTGTCAAGTTTCACAAAATTCATAAAAATTCCAATATCTTCAAAACTAATGATTTTTTACCAAGGTCATGTTTTGATATTCTGATTAGTCATGAGCTGACCTATATTAGTCCTTCAAAGGATATCGTTGACTTTTGGGACACTCTGTATAGTACTAAATGTATTATCTCAATACAAAAATACAAAAGTATTAAATATTCAGTAGTGCTGACCTTTTGATTTCGTCGGCAGTAAACTGGATTTAACTGATTTCGGGTGAAGATTCCACCGTGGAGTGCCCAAAATACATTCTCTTTACTTTTACTGTAAAAAACTGCTTTTGTATCGTATCTAAACGGTTGTTAGTCCATTTCAAAGGATAAATTTCAATTTGCACGTAAAAATTTGACATTTTGACTGGCGCGCCGATAATACAGATTTTCACACAGAACGCAAGGTAGAATGGTTACTCTATTGTTTTATAGATGTCGCACTATACAAATATTTTTGGATAATACTTAGATAAGTATTTGTCGTGGAAAAAGTGTAGCACAGCAAAAATATCGCAAAAAAAACTATTTCTTAAACTCGACTTATTGTCACCTACACAGTATACTGCATTTTATTTCATTGCTGTGAGAAATCAGAAAGGCGCTTTTGATACGTGCCTTCAGAACTCTGGCGCACAGTGTTTCAATTCTGGAAAATATCGGCAAAACCTCAAAAATTGACATTTTTTTTCAGGTAAATTTTAAGTTAGATGGGTAGTTAATACCTGTCTCCATCCTGTATTGAAAAAAATTATATAAAATAGGTATATTTTGTCTTGTACATCAGTTTAAACTTGACGCTTTCAGTTGAAGGTCCTTTACACGCGATCGCTGCGGAAAATTGTTTATTGTTTAAAAGTGAATAACTTGTGTTTGGTGTGTCCGATTGTTATGCAGTTTGATGAAGGGTGATCTTCAAGGTATCTAAAATTCAGATATGTATTTGTTCTTCGTAGATTTTGCTTGTACAACGGGTTATTGTAACCGACAAGATCGGTCTGTTAAAATCGCAAACTTTGAATCGAGCTTTTAGAACAATGGAGCTACAAAAATTGTAATGAATTGTAAGGCATCAGTTTACGATCTGTTGGATAGCTTAGAGTTTTGTCTATCAAGCCATCAATAAATTAGCTGCCCCAACTTGCCCCCGGCTCTTTAAAACTACATGTTCTTGGGCGCTCAGGCACGGTTGTGGTAAAAAAACCTCGCGATTTTAAGCCTATGTCGAGCGCGTATCTGTGTTTTTGATTTACAAAATATAAGATTTTTTTATTTCTGGGTTGCGTTCATGACGTTTGCTCGATTCACTCGGATTTAACTCAAAACGTTTATTACAACAGCGGTGTCTAGACTTTCACTTTCGTAAATCGTTCGTGTCTACTAAGATATTTAACACCGATTTTACATATTTAACCCACCTCTTGTAGGTGCGTTAAAACAATTCCGCATGCGCATTGTAGTGTGTTAATGTCAAATTGTGGTTTTAGCGAATTAAGAAATCGTTGCTAAAATATTAAGTAAAATAAATAATACAAATTTAAAATACTTAGTATAAAATCTGTTTTATAAATAAATTTTGAAAGTTTCTCGGGAGAAAACGATGGAAGATGTTTTCCATTGGCTTATGGCTTCTTCCGATCCATACATTTCTAGCTTCAGAAAAATTGCTTCAAAAAGAGCAAATCTTTGTCCCGCGAAGCAATAAAACTGTTGCTATCTTCTGATGGTTTCCCATGCTCTGCTAATGATACAACGAGCGAATCCAGTGACGGAGATTGTTTAATATATATGTAGGTATTAATATATCATATAAATGTAATTATAATAAACTAAATTAAGCTATTTTATAAAAAGATGTTTTATTACATTTTAAAAAGAACTTCTTACGGGTTTTTAATTAATTTCGACAATATTTGATAAAAATGTCCGCCATTCGAGGTCCACCATTTTGAATTTTGGAATTCTGATTCCAGATTCGTTATCAGCGACCCCAAAAACCTTTATTTACGGATTTTTAGGAGAATCCGACTACTCCTTAATATTTTGCCGAAAATTCCACACCTGTAATTTTTAACCAATCAAAACGTGTATTTTTGATAGATCACCATGGCAACGGTTGAATTTTAGTGGAAATTTTTTCCTCGTGGGTACCCAACAGCGAATTATACTGGAAATTTTTTGACGTTTATAATGACAGAATATTTTTTTGACAATCTGGTTTTTATTTGTTTACATGATAATTTTGATACATTTCCATTACAAAGTTTAGATGTTTTCTATATTCGTTGGACACCTCCTTTCTTCTTAATGGAGAAAATGCAGGACTTGAAATAAATTAAATGTCTATGTCTAATGAAATATATATATAATATTTAGACACTATTCTATTCACCTTTTTTCCCATTTAGCACTTTGAGTTTTGAATAGTTAAGATGCAAATATTCGTGAACAATTCAAAGCAAATTTTCTTTCTTCAAGTAGGAGCCACAATCCTCTAATAATGCGGGTAAATAAGTCATTGCACGATGATTGATCATTACAGCAGACAATTTCACATTTTTTTACGTCGTGCTGCTTGACAGCTTTAAAACTGAAATAACTTTTAGGTTGGGGTTGACTTAGTTGCCATGGTAACTAAATAATCAAGTCGAGGTCAAGTTAAATCAAAAAATAAATTTTAATTATTTAAACACAATTTGGTGTGGAATTTTCTTACCGAATACCACACGAGGTCAAATTAAATCCGGAAATAATTTGAACTCTAGTGGTATTACTAGTGAAAATTTCGAGAATTGAAACACTGTGGGGCGTACGTATTTTTTATGTGTTTACAATATTCGAGATTTCACTGCTACGTTTCGTGCCGGACGATCTTGATGTTTAGAGGGCGGATTTTATGCAAAAAAGCATTATAGATTTTTTTACAACTACCTTAATAAAATATTATAGGATGTCGTACCCAAACTAATGTTTTGTTTTTTCATAAAATCACAAATAAAAGATTATGAATATTGGTATTTTACTTAATTATAATTATTGGAAAAAATAATGAGCTTTACATATACCGACAGAAACAAAAATATATATATAAAATTAATCTTAAAAATTTACAAATTTTGTAAGGTATGCACACTGCTGTCAATGGCATACAAATCCGGTCTCCATTGATATGTTGTCCAACAAATATTGAACTTACTCCCATTCTTTTTTTGTAAAAGGGTTCATACATTTTAATATTTCTTTGAATTGTGTTTTCACATCTAAAAATCATGTATAGCATTTTATAATAATTGGATTGTAAAATAACATTTTATAAATATATTTTATATAATAGTATATTATGTATCAAGTTTGATAAACGCCATTTTATACACGAATTTAATTAGGGCATGAGCGAGCTTGCGAGCGAGTACTTAAATTAATGAGTTTATAAAAAAGTTTATAAACGAGGTGCATACTTGTTCTACGACAAATACCTACTTATTATTATCTTAAAATGATTTAAATCAAAAATTTATGAAACAAAAGGGGAATCTGTGTCACCGTCAAATGTTACATTTTTATATTTTATAAACACAGATTATAAGGTTATAAATCGAAATGTATTTCTTGAAAATTGACAGTTTTTTACAGTGAAAGCAAAGAAAATGTTTTATGAGGACTTTACAGTGGAGTTCGTGCCCGAATTTAAGTTATAGTTTACAGCCGGCGAAATTAAAAGGTCAGTACAATGTTCATATAAACTTTTCAAATATTGGCGTTGAGAAACTATTTAATACTTTTGTATTTTTGTATTAAGATAATAAAATAATTTTCACATTTAGTATTATTTTACAAGAAAGGCACTTTATTTTAACGATTGTATGACATTTGACAACTGTCAACTAACTTAAAACTAACTTCAGCCCGTGACTAAAAACCTGTTGCTAACTTCAGCCCGCGACTAAAGCTCCATAAAGCCACAACTTGTTAATGTGTATTTAATAGGTCACTTATTGTCATGGAAACATGTACGATAAAGGCCGTTTTAAAGGTGGAAGTGGAAAAAATATTTTTTGAGTTACTATAACTTTTCTACGGCAAATACTTATTATTTTCTAAAATTTATTTAGATGAAATATTTGTATAGCGCGACATCTATAAAACAATAAAGTAAACACTTGGTAATCTTAAATGTCAAATTTTTAAGTATAAATGAAATTTATCCTTGAAAATAAACTAACAACAGTTTTTCACAGTAAAAGTGAAACAAACGTTTTGTGGGCACTTAACCGTGGAGTCTCCACTCAAAATTAAGTTTAATCTAGTTTACTGCCGGCGAAATTAAAATGTCAATAGAATGTTCATATAAACTATTGGCGTTAAAAAGCCACAACTTGTCAATGTGTATTTAAAAGGTACTTTTTTATCGACATTATATTTTCTCTTAGGAAAGATCAACCACAATTTGATGCTCTCTAAATTCAATGCCCATTCAACTTTGCCTTTGCTTTATGCTTCAATTCACATACCTTTTGCCAAACGAAGTCCTGTGTGTATTTATTTACAAAGTCTTTCTTGTTGCCATTGGAATACGAGGTGGCCCGAAAATAGCTAGCAGCATTTTTATTGATTTTATTGCAAATGACGTTCTTAAAACTGTTATACAGTTAGTACACTGCAAAAGCAAGGAACAAATACATTAAAAAATGTATTTTGATTTAAAAATTGTATTAAATATTAAATGTTTAAATATAAATTGTACATACATAAAATATTTATAAAAAAAATCTACTTACTAAGATATTACACTTCACGGTGGATAGGTTTTTAAATAGCAAATTAATGTTCTTAAACTTTTGAATTATAAAACAGCAACACTCTCATCTGCATATAAATTCTAACTGACCTTCAGGAATCACATGCATCTATAATGTCGTAAACAGAGGTTTTTGCTTATTTAAAATGATTAAAGCGCCACCCGTTGCATAAAATTTAAAGCAAAAACAGATTCACGGAGGATAGAATCAATTTTTGTAGCACCCACATAAATGGTTATAAAAATGATTTCTTTTAATTTTTAATAATATTTTATACTTGATTCGATTGCTTTGGATGTGTTTAATTTACTTAGTGAACTGATATTTTTAGTGTGCTTTTACTACCTCAGATGTTTGAAAACACATAGGTTAACCTAGAAAGAGTAACAGTCACGGAGGATAGGTTTTAGACTTTTAAAACATTGTAAAAATAATTAATTCGGTTAAAAATCTGAAACCTGAGCTGTAATATCTACTTAATTATGAAAGATCAAAACACAACAAAAGTGTAGGTCAATCTCATTTATTAAATATCACGGGGTAACACCATTTCGTGAGTTTCACCCAGGTACATGTGTTTTTTAACATTCGTATATCACGGTGCTGTTCTGCGAGGTGATTTTTGGACTTTCTGTGAAACCTAATTTTTTTTATATTCTTGTTAATTTGGTCATAACTAAAATTTTAAGAGCAAAATAAAAAAAATTTGACGGTTTAAATTGTTTTAATTGGCTGTTTATTAAAAATATTATTCACTATTTCAATTATCCAATTAAAACTAGCGATTTAATTTAAATATTTAATATTTGCATAACTAAAAAAAAGGTTTTTAAATTTTTTATATATTTTACTGTTTTGTTGCAATAAACGTTCAAACTTTTAATCTAACCTTTGACGTATACATTTATGTTCCCTTAATTAATATATCCTTAAAGGTTTCCATGAAACTTAGATCTATTAAAAATTTATTTGACGTTTGAATTGTCATTTTCAGTATACGTATTCTATAATTTTTGTTTAGTTTTTAAAGTGTTTTTTATAAACAAAAATGAAAAATTGTAGTAAAAGTTACGAAGAAATTTATGAAATTTAACTAAGGACCGGTTTATTCATCTTTAGTAAAGTTTATCGGGCCGATACCTTTCATGTCTTGGTAATATATAGTATCCAAAGAAATTATTCGTCAAATAAATTAAAAATGAATAAATCGGCCCTAAATAAAATGTGGCACCCTTATTATTGTTTAATAAATGTATACTATACATTTAACCTTAAATTAAAACTTTAAACGTGTATTACAACAAAACAGTAAAAGATATAAAAAATGTATAGACCTTTTTTAAGGAAATTAACTAATCTTTAATCTGATTTAAAAAGTTATGATAATATTTAAATAAAATCGCAAGTTTTAATTGGAGAATTGAAAGTGTGCATACATATTTTTAATAAACATCCAATTAAAACAAAATTAACCGTCAAATTTTTTTTATTTTGCTCTTAAAATTTTAGTTATGACCTAATTAACAAGAATATAAAAAAAAATAGGTTTCACAAAAAGTCCAAAAATCACCTCTAAGAACAGCACCGTGATATATCTTTGTGAAATCCGTAAATATATTTGTTGCATTTCTTCGGTAGGTGTCTTGGATAAGGAGCAAGGATTTACACATTCTAACTTCGGGTCGCCACACCTTTTCCACCGATAACCGTTTCGAGAGCGTGCACTCGTCGAGCAGCGGGGATTTCTGGGGATTGAGGATCAGAGGCGTGCACATATCAGATACCGGACAATACGAGTGCCAGGTCAACACTGATCCCAAGATGAGTTTGGCGATATTCTTGAACGTACAAGGTAGGTTCAGGGTTGTAAATGTGTTATATATTTATTAAGCAAGCTTTAACCACATTGCATTACTTTTATTTAATGTAATATTAACCTTTAAAAATGTAATGTAATTAATTATTGTGTAGTACTACAAAGGGTGGCCAAAAGCCCAAAAAGTCAACTTTATCTGATCAAAAAAAAACTACACCAATGTAAAGAAAAACTATTAATTTATAAGATTTTAGAAGAAAAAGTTAATAATCCTTTTAAGGTTTTATTTACAATAGGATTTGTTTAAAAAAAGAACATAAATTTATTTTTTATAAAAAAACTTTGAGCATATTATACATTAAATATCTTAAAATCAAATAATACCACACATCAGTGGCGGCTGGTGGATTTTGGGCATACCGATATCTCAATTATTAGATATGGGACCCACACCAAATTTATATGAGTTTATCATGACATTAAATAAACAAGTTCTGCGCAAGCAGAATTTAAATTGAAGTTTGCGAAAAAAATGATAACCGAAACATCGAACATGGAACTGACGACACGGTACTGATGAATGATATACAAATTTGAGATTATAATTCGGAATTAATTATTTAACTGATATTTTTTATTAGTGGATGCTACTTATCAACAAATCAGATATAGCCTTATATAAATTACAATGAAATATAGTACTGAAATTTTGACTGAAACTATACGTGCATTCACCACAACTTCGCCGCTTGCATTGTTTTCAAGATGACTGTCGAGGAAAGGGCGGGCTCTGTAGGTAATTTTTGGCACTTGAGTTAAAATGAGGACTTGACGTTTTAACTTCAATATTTCGCAGGAATTTTGAATTTTAACATTGAACACAGAACTGACGGGTAAAAGTAAGTACAAATATTATAATTTTTTTTTTAAATTGCTATTATTTGAATCAATGATAAAATTTGAAAAATACATTATTTAATGTTTTATAGTTTGTAGTGAAATTAAAAAATTTAAGATAAATTGAATATATTTTAAACTAAATCACTCAAATATTTGATTCAGAAGTTGTGACACGTCAAGGTACTGATGTTTTGAATATTTATTATGTTTTTCTACAAACGTGCTTTTGAAAAAATACATTAAAAATGGGTGGACAAGTTAAAAAAACCTCTATTGACTGATGACATCAAGTTGTCCAACTTTTGTAGAATCACCCATAAGTATTTTAAATATATTTTCTCTACGACTACTTAAGAATAGTAACATTCTACTGTAATTTTTGATCATAGAAAGGATGTTTTTCTGCAATACTGTGCGAGAATATTCCTACTCTTGTTTAAGAATGGTCACAAGTAACGACATCTCCTGGCTGTTTACTAAACGTAAAAAATTTAAAAATATTAAAATATTACTGCATTATTTATTAATTAAAAAATAATAGCAGTTGTATAATTAAGGTTTAGGCACAAAAAATTAGTTATATTTATCGTTTTTCAAATATACAAATCAAAATTATAATAAATTTGATATTGAAATGATAAACCAGTTACCTACTATACCGGCTTTGAAGTTTTGACAGATTCAAAAAGTTTAAAAAAAGACCTTTAAAGTGTAGAAAAAGAATAGATGTTGACATAGATTACTTGTAAAATTAGTTTTGTATTTGTTACAATGTTATTTTTTTTATTAGTTAGTGTAAATAACTATTTTTAATTATAATAAAGATTTAGACATACCATACCATTTGTTACAATGTTATTTTTTTTATTAGTTAGTGTAAATAACTATTTTTAATTATAATAAAGATTTAGGCATACCATTTGTTTAAATTTATTATAATTTACATTATAAAATTGTGAAGGCACAAAATGGTTTGACAATACAAATAGCTTAAATGTCAAAAACTGCTTGGTTTCTTTTCTTTGTTTAAAATTATATAAGCGTTACTATTCTTACGTAGTCGTAGAGAAAATAATGCCTGAAACACGTTTGGAATAGCATATTCCACTCTCGTAAAACCGTCACACTCGCCTTCGGCTCGTGTGTCAAATTTTTCCTCGAGCGGAATATGCTGTATTCCAAACTTGTTACAGAATGTACTATTCTGTATTTAAAAATGTCCATAAAAAATGAGTTTAAGAAATTTTCTTTTAATGCGTATTAAAAACGTTTATTCTCGATTTTTTTATATTGGCCCAGCTTGTCCAGTTTAACGAGCACTAAATTAATAAAAAGTTTTAGTTATTAATAAAATAATAATAAAAAGTCAATATAAACAAAATTTTTTCCCAGCTTCTTTGAGGAAAAAAACATTGACTAGAAAAATTACTATTAAAAAGGTGGAGGCCATTATTTTAAATTGACTACGTACTGTAAGGTCGAAAAAAATATTTCCTATAAGTTTATTATTATTTCAAAAATATATTATAATTTATTTCTTTGGAATTGTCCCCTGGGTCACATAACTTTCCCCTGGATCACACAATATGCGATCCAGAAGATGTGTGACCCAGGGGAAAGAATGTTTGTTTTTAGAACATAACCTCTTTACTGTTTTAAAGATAAAAATTTGTATGTTTGCCCTTAAAACCATTACTAGGATACTTTTGAGAATCAAACAAAGTCCAACTGGAACCTTTACTAATTTTTATTACTGTGACACAGGAGAATGCACAGTTTTGCCACGCTGCAGCGCGCTGGTATAAAAAATACAAAAAAACGTGTTGTGGCTTCAAGACACTTAAAAACACCATTTCCTGCTAAAATCCTTTACCAAATCCATTGCCGCAAGGGGGCAGCACCAAAAAATGTGCGCTTAATTCAAAGGGACATTTATAAAAGCTGTGACCCAGGAGACGTGACCTATAGGGGACCAAAATTAAGGGACAAACTTTAGGGGTTATTTTAACCACTTGTATTTTTAAATATTACACCAATTTATGATTGCTTTGATAATTTCTTTGTTTTGTTTTTTCTTAGTTTATTTTTTTATTATAATGGTTTAGTAGGGCTATCGACCATTATAATAATTTTGCTTTAATTTTTAGTATTAGGAAAAAATTAAAATTGTTTAAACTTTTTACGGTTTTAACTGTTGTTCTTAAATTGTACCAAAAATAGCAATGTTGTACTTTTCATTTATTTATGATAAATTATTGTTTATGCACAAAGAAAAAAATACATAAATTTTTTTTTGAAACAGTCCATGCTTCTGTACGACATGCGATGTCAAGCGAAGGCAAAGGCAAAACCCATACACACATATATATATATATATATATATATATATATATATATATCGTGCAGACAGTAAATCTATATTTATTTTTTGACATTTCATGAAGCTTTGTTACTTTTCGTTGTTTTCGTTTCCATCACGACGACATTTCGGATAAATACAACTTCGTTCAAAGCTTAGCCATGCACAATCGTTTATTTCGGCGATGGCTTCCTCATACGATAGTGCAGGACCGGGCCGCCAGAAGTTAAATGGGAAAAATACAAATTTCTCACCGTATATCCATAATGACTAATTTCACATAAATCACCAAGTTCAATTAACTAAACCACAGAATAAACCACTTACAAAAGAATCATAAAATAGACAAACTCTTAAAAAAAAGAATAAACAAAATATTGCGTAAATAACCACAGATTTGTTCTTTAAACAGTTCAGAATTTTATAACCAAAACAAACCTAGAGAAGGAATCTGTATTTATTTTATTGGTTACTGTGATGGCTACAAGATGGCGATAGTATTAAAATATGTTTATTTTAGAATAGAAATATAATTTTAATTAAATCGATTTATTATAAGAAAAATAATACCATTTATTATTGAATTTTGAAAAACGTGTGAAGTATAATTTATCTAAAATTCCGCAACAGTGTTGCCACAACACCTGCTTATTTCCTTGGATGTAGGCGTGCCTGCCTCGCGTATGCTAATACGAGAGAAGGAGACAACTATGATATCGCATTGTAGTAGAACGAGACAACAAGGCTAACGCCAATCGTGAGTCTAAATTAGTTCAGGCATGCTTCTGAGCCAATCATCTAGCTATAAATATTAGTTTAAATTGCTGTGGTTTCAAATTCAAATAATTTAAATGTTGCTGGGTATTCCACGTATAAAATCAATCAATTTTATTGACTATTTCACAATTCATGTAATCCAAATATTAAAAATTTATAGTATATACTATACAAAATATTATTTTAATATAATTAATATTGTTTATGTCAGGTTAAGAAAAATGGACAATCTTTTAGCAAATTCCCTTAATTTTTGATGTTAATTTTGCGCATTGTGAATGATCGTTTTGTGTTAATTATAAGTATAATTGAAACCACTAATTTTTTCCACTAATTACGAGGTTATAAATGAAGCTTAAAGGTTAATTTTTTACCTAATTCGGGCCTGTTCTAAAGACACACCACGACGATGCAGCTCCTTATAAATTCTTTATGTGTTTTGTGTGCAAAGAAACGGGAGACGTGACCGCAAGAACTGAGAAAATCAATCCGACATAAAAACAGAACAAAAGTGGATTAAATTTGGTTCGCGAAATAAAAGTTCGTGAGCAAATTTTCTTGTTCTAGCAAAGGATTCACCTTCCGATTAACTTTTCCTAAACTCTTTATACTTATAAATTTATCAAATCAATATTTTATTATGTTAAAATATCTCCAGTTTAATGTAAAATAAAAGAACTTAACAAAGGTAGGTCATGGAAAATAAATAATGGTGTGCAAATGTCAGAAACTGTCATTTTTATTTAAGTTGTCTGCATAAAGTTATTGTAATGGAGCGCCAAGTGAGAAATTTAAATGGTGATAAATGTGTAAGAATTATTACATTGGCCGAGCAAGGACTAAGCTACCGTGATATAGCTCGGAGATTGGGAGTCAATCATATCTCAATATCCCGTGTTATTCAACGTTTTGAAGAAACCAACAATCATAACACACGTGATGGGTAGGAAAGGCATCGAATGACAACAGTCGTACATGATCGTTTCCTTTATTTGCATGCTTTGAGAGAACGATTTGTAACAGCAAGAAATCTACAGGTACAACTTAATGCTACTCATAATTTTTAAACAAGTGTATCCACCGTAAGAAGACGTCTTGCGGAACAGAATTTGAACTTCGGAATTCCAGCAACAGGACCGAAGTTAAATGAAAATCATCGTAGAGCAAGACTGCAATTTGCCAGACAACATGTTGGCTGGAATATTGAGGATTGGCAGCGAGTACTATTTACAGACGAGTCCAGGTTCTGTTTATTCAGCTCTGATCGGCGCCGTCCAAATGAGAGATTTTAACAGTGTAACATTCGTGAAACCACGTAATGGTTTGGGGAGAAATTTCCTTGACAGCTCGCACAGAACTCGTCATTGTTCGTGGAGGTACCATGAATAGTGTACGATATATCGAGGACATTTTATCTGAGCATGTTGTCCCTTTCGCCACGTACATCGGTAATAATTTTTACTGATGCAGGATAACGCAAGACCTCACACCGCTCATATAGTGCAAGAGTACTTACATGAGGTGGGTGTTGAAACTTTAGACTGGCCTGCGAATAGTCCGGATCTCAACCCCATTGAGCATTTTTGGGATAATATGGGTAGACGACTAGGAAATCATGATCCCTTGCCTGCCTCCCTTGATGACGTAGCAAATATGCTACAAGAAATATGGAATGTCATTGATCAAGACATCTGGTTTCCAGTATGAGCCGTCGATGTGAGTTCTTTAATATTTAACTGTATATTTCTTTTAAAAATAAAGATAACGCTGTGAATTAAAAAACAAAATGTTAAGAGAAGATGGGGCTATAGTTTCATTGTAAGAGGCATATGCTGTTATAGCTGGTACAACCCACAGGGCGTTTCAAATTTACAGGAAAAAACCTATTATTACTCTTGCACCCTGTATATACTGATAACGTAAATTTGAAAAAAATATTTTAATAAAGGCATCATAACCAAAGAATAAACCTACGATTTAAAACAAAAACTACCAAATTCGGTTTGACGCGTCATGACGGTTCACGAGAAAATCAACTTTAAAATTGTGGCAAATTTTTAGTGGTGCCTTAAATTTGACGCGAAGTGTATATTATCGGAATTAAAATTAAATGATAAAATATAAAAAATGATAACATTATTAAAATAAAATAGCCATTCCTCGTAAAACAAAACAAAAAAATTTAATTGTATTACACAAATACGGTTTATTTATTTTAAATAAAAATTCTATTTTTGTCTATAAAGATACGCATAAAACAAACATGTGTAAAAATGTAAATCCTTGGATTACAAAAAACATTTTGAATTTGTGGTTGTTATTTAAACCAGAAATTATGCTGCCATTGTTTAAATAAATATTTTAAATATCAAAAAGCACCTTATAAATAAATAATTGTTTATATGTTTGTTCATTTGTTTTATACATAAATATACTTTTATATTTATGTATTCATTTATATTTGATTTAATTCAACCATGCAAAAAATAAAATGTAAAATTGGCTTTGTATTTTGTTGATTTAATGATGAGCTGTTAAGAAATTAAAACACAAAAGTAGAAATAAAATATACAGTGACTGGCTAAAGTATGGAACGTTTCATTAAAAAATGTGCCTTTTTTCCCCAAAACCAATTAAATGTTCGAAAATTTTCGTTTTGGATGACTTCCGGACATTCTTCACAAATTTGATTTATCAAGTCTTCTAAATTTTGTGGTCTGTTGATGTAGACCTTTGATTTACGGTAGGCCCATAAGAAATAATCAAGAGGGGTAAAATGTGGAGATCTCGCTGGCCACTCTATCGGTCCTCGTCTTCCAATTCACCTCTAAGGAAAACATGTTTCCAAAAAAGTACGGATATGACTCCTATAGTGCGAAGGTGCCCCGTCCTGTTGAAACCAAATTGTATCACTTGGTAGATTGGGACCTCCATTCTCATTGAGAAACATTTTTGCTGATGTGGGAAGAAGAGAGTTTTGCAAAGAAAGGAAGGACCTTTGATTCGATTTTCCATTATTCTTGCCCAGACATTTACTTTTTGCCGGTATTGGAAATTTGTCTCTACTACCCAATAAGGATTTTCTCTGCTCCAGTACATACAATTTTAACCGTTGAATGTACATTCGTACCATTCGTCCGAAAAAAGTATTTTACGAGAAAAGTGTGGATTATTGTTACACAAATTCATTATAGCTTCACAAAATTGTAGTCCACCCTCTGAATTATCTTCGTTCGCAAGAGTCTAATTTTGTATGGATGGTATTTTCTTTCTTCATAAGATTTAATACTGAGCTTGGCTGACTTGACTTTCAGCTGCGACTACACTGTTTAAATTTTATGACCATTTTAACACCATACATGGTCTATATCGATACAAACCAAAATGGTGTTAAATATGGTTCGTTGGTCCAGTGTAAATTCAAATACTAAAATTTAACTTTCAAACAGTAATAAAATAAATTTTACCTGGTGTAAATTGAACTCCTTTTCAGTGTTAAATATTATGTGTTTGTGGTCAAATTAAATCACACTACACAGAAAAAAGTCACGCATTACCAGTATATTACTAGAAAATTGAACCTTTAACTCGCTAGAGATAATGTTTTTAGTGCGTTCCACCAATTTAAAATACTTCAAGTATTGACAGCTGTTTCCACCTATATATTTATGAGTATTGAACAACTTGTAGTGTCACACGAAAGCAAATGAGCTTATATACTCTTCATATAAGTCAACAGAGGCGAGATTTAAGAACATCACGTGATCCACACCGCCTTTGCCGCGATCGGTACATACTATGCAACCAGGAATGCACGGCAAATTGTTTCAATCGTTTTAACAGAGTGCTTTAGGTTGAAGTAACTCTTATTTTGCAAACAACATATTTAGTAAACTGAACCATACAGCGGGTTGGTTTCACTAAAGTTTTCTGGATTAATTGAACCTTCCCACAGTTGATATAAATAAATACTTATGGGTCAACTAAATTGATATAGTTAAATGAACTATGCCTTTTTTGTGTAGGTCCACTTCTCAAATATTTTTAGATAAACACCGTTTTGGTGTTTGCTGTATATAACATTTTCAACCATAATTCATGGTGTTATATTAACACCACTTGGTGTTGGATTTTGACACCATTTTAAGATTACTCTTTACACCACAGATATTTTAAACAGTGTGGTAATGTACAATAATTTCTTTTGCAGTTTCAGGTATGCGGAACTCCAAATTCGTCAGCAAAGCGCTAATAAAAGGTCCGAGGGAGCTTCGAGTTTCCATCGGCTCCCCCGTCACCCTTACATGCGAAATATCGCCCATGTCGTTGGCGTCCCTGCGCCTAGGCAACCCGCAGGACGAATCGTCACGTGACTCGGTGGTCGGCGCTTCGGGCCTGTTCTACAGGGACAATCCCAGCGTGCGTTGGTTGCACGATGGACAGGAAGTCACATCGTTTGAGGTGGGTTTTATGTTTTTCTTTTACTTTTGTGCTACGCCTACCCTGACCAATGACTTTTACATTTTCGTCGTCATTTTTTTCAAATTTATGGTAAAAATACTTGAATTGAATCAGTTTTTCACACTGTCCACATTGTTTATATTGTCCATATTGTCTAGAAAATTTAAAAATATTTTTCTTTGGTAATTTTTATGTAATCGACTTACCTGTTGTTCAGTAACAAATCATTAACAATGGTTAATGCGTTAAAAAAGACCAATACATCACAGAACAAACATTTATTAACAAAATAAAAACTTTTCATAATAACAGCCAAATAACAAATTTAATGCTACGTTGCCAATGAAATATTCTTCCTATAATTAAAATACTTTTGACAAATTGACAAGTCTTGCTGGTTTGTTGTATAATATTATTTTGTCAGATTTGAGGGTCACAATTAAAATGCTTTTACCATTTTACTATTTTTTTCCGATTTATATTAATTATATCATGTCATGAAAATTGTACTATGCTCCACACCTCAAAGTCCCACCACGTGACCACGTACGGAACGCAGTCTTTTGAAAATTTGGCATTTAAGGCTTTTCAGGTTATGTATCTGTCAAAGTATAGTCAACGAAAGAAATAATATTATGTTTAGGCATTAAAAATGTATAAATCTTTATAACATTACAATAACAATGGATGGTTTAAGAATATAAATACTGCATTTAATGAAATTCTAAATAAAATAATTTTAACTAAACAGCATTTATTAAAAAAAATCTAGCTTCTCTATTATGGAATAAGAATATCTGTATTATAGGTAGGTTAATATATGTATTATAACAAAAATATCATGTAATTTTGTAATTTTAAGATTAGAAAAATTTATTTTGACCAATATAAATAAGTATTTTGGATTATTTAAAAGACTCTATAATATGGTATTTAAAAATGTTGTAGTTCTTCTTATTCAGCTTAAAGTGTACCTACATAAAGTTTTGTCAATGCAAATAGTTAAAAAGCTTCGACTGAATTTGATCTACATAGAAAAATTATTATCTTTAAAAATTTTAATAAATCACATGTCATAGGAGTATTAAATATTTTCACATTGCAAGTTTCTTTAAAAATTGTTTGTTTTCTTATAATCTAACTTAAAGTAGGTATACCGAGAGGTATGCACAAGTTTTGTCGTTAGAAGTATAAAAGCTTCAATTTAATTTGAATCATATTCAACAATTATATAGTATACCTATATTTATTTATGACCATATTAACACACTCTTCCAAATAATCCACTTATTTATATGGTCAAAATAAATTTTTCTAACCTTAAAATACAAAATTAGATAATATTTTTTGTTCTAATACATTAACCTACCTTTGATACAGATATTCTTATTTCATAATAGAAAAGTTAGATTTTTTTTAATAAATGCTCTTTAGTTAAAACTATTTTATGGAAAAATATAGACCCAATGCACAAAAATATCACTTATATTGCACCTTACACTTTGGAATTTCATTAAATGCAGTATTTATATTCCTAAATTCTTGAACCAACCATTGTTATTGTGATACTATAAAGATTTATTAACTTTTAACGCTTAAACATAAGCGGTAACACTAAAAATATTATTTCTTTCATTGACTATACTTTGACAGATACATAACGTGAAAAGCCTTAAATGCCAAATTTTCAAAATACTGCGTTCCGTACGTGGTCACGTGGTGGGACTTTTAGGTGTGGAGCATAAAATCTTAAATTTTATGAAGCAAGCAATTAATCCCGGCGCATCCGCCATTTCTGCAAAATATAACGATTCAACTACGGTTTCGCGAAAGGATCGAACGGTCGATTTACAAGGGTTCCAGAAATCAATTGAAACTTTTTCACCTTATTTCTACATCTAAACTTTGTTGTTTTTTTTTGTTAACTGTGTTAAAAATGAAGAAATTTCATTTTTTTAATAACTTTTTTATTTCAAAACGTATCGATTTGAAATTTGAGCAAAGTGTAGATCTTACTAATGACAATTAATCCATGAAAAAATTTTGTTTAGATTTGAACGTACAGGGGGCGCTGGTGATAATTTAATTTAAAATTTAACAATTTTTAAAGGGTAAATAATCGAAGAAGCAACTTTGTTTTATAAATTTGAGGATAACACGTTGAAGTATTGATATTTGACTATTATTTGATATATTAACTTTTTTATGCAAATGATGTTTCTGTGGCCAGGATCAGTTTTGAATTAGCAGTAGCAGTATTCATAAATGTTTAGTTTAGTACAAAAAAACAAAACAAACAAAACATCTTTTATTAATAATTAAGTATAGCATAACACATAATTGACGTTTAATATACAGGGTGTTTCACGTACGTAGTCCGTTAGAAGTTTCTAGGAAATCGCGAAAGACATCGATTTAAAATTTTAATATCGTAAATTATTCGATTTAGACTTTTTCCTAAATTAATTTGAACAAAATAATAATTTCTGTTTTACCTGAAATGTCTTTAACTTTGTTATTGGGTCAGAATTTCTCAAACGGGCCACCTGAATTAGGTCAAAATTAGTTTTTGATTGTAGATACATTTTTTCGATAGTATTTTACATCACTAACACAAATCCTAAAGGATTTTGTAAAAAAAAAATTTTCAATTGACATATTCATGATATTAAAAGTAAAAGTTTTTAGTAATTAAAAAATAAAAAAAAATCATTATGGCTAAACTAATTATCCGATTCCAACGATTTAACTAGCGTTGGAATCTTGTTTTGACATAGATTCTTTGTTATTTTTTTCAATTGTACAATTTTCATTTAGGTCGATTTTTTTTTGTTTTTTTATAACAAATTCGGAAATAATTGGCTTCTGCGCCAGCTATCGACTCGAAAAAAAAAAACACATATACTCCAATCATTTTTCGAAATTATGCTGCTGAGAAAAAAAATGGCCCGCAGGTTCCAGACCACCGTAAGACGTCGCGTCACAAGCGCGTACAGCGTACACGGTTCAGAGCGTGAGCTGACACCGCGCGCGGCCACAAAAGGACGAATAACTTTTTGTCAACCTGCGGGCCATTTTTTTTCTCAGCAGCATAATTTCGAGAAATGATTGGAGTATATGTGTTTTTTTTCTCGAGTCGATAGCTGGCGCAGAAGGCAATTATTTCCGAATTTGGTATAAAAAAAAACAAAAAAAAATCGACCTAAATGAAAATAGGACAATTGAAAAAAATAACAAAGAATCTATGTCAAAACAAGATTCCAACGCTAGTTATATCGTTGGAATCGGATAATTAGTTCAGCCATAATGAATTTTTTTATTTTTTAATTATTAAAAACTTTGACTTTTAATATCATGAATATGTCAATTGAAATTTTTTTTTTTACAAAATCCTTTAGGATTTGTGTTAGTGATGTAAAATACTATCAAAAAAATGTATCTACAAACAAAAACTAATTTTGACCTAATTCAGGTGGCCCGTTTGAGAAATTCTGACCCTATTTTAAAAAGGACACCTCATATATCTTTACATTTTTGAATTCTACATAAAATTCTACCTATCCTACCTATACCTAAAGTCAATTTTTTTCGAGTTATTAATTTTTCAATAAAATATTTTAATTAATTTTTAATAATGATGTGGATACTGTCACATTAACCCACATGTAGAATTTCACAGGTTTGTTGATACAAAATAGTATTGAAAATATTAGAAATTGTTAAATGTCTCTGAAATTTTAACTAGGAAACAGTTATTATAATACCAATCGAAAGGTTCTTTAATTTTCTATTTGATTATGTTAAAACATACAAGGTTTTAAATTTATAATAAAAACGTTATTATTGTTTAAAGTTTGCCTAATTTCAAATGTTTTTTTTCAAGCTATTTGTTAAAAAAAAATTAAATTATTTAAACAATGTTTTAATATTCCAAAAATTCCAACCCCATGTTGTCATTTAGAGGCTATTTTTGATTGACGTGCATTTAGCAAAATTTTAATCCAAAAAATGAATATCTTGAAAACTATTGACTTTAGGTATGGTCTAAATCAAATTGTATACGCTATTAAAATTTTAAGATCATATCGTTTGCGTTTGTCCAGAAACACCCTGTACAGCATTATATTAAATATAAAAAATGCAAAATAATTAATCACAAAAAGCGAAAAACAACTGAATAAAAAATATACATATATCTATAATAAGCTATCGCAACATAAAAAATAAATTCTATATTATAATTTATTTATTGGATAAATATTACTTTCCTCAGTTTGGAATTAAAATTGAAGCTTGCTTATCGAGTAAAAAATAAATTGAAGCTTGGTTTTGGAGCAAAAAATAAAATTAAAGTAGGTTATAATTTCTAACTTGCTGACACCGTCTATAGGTAATTATTATTTAGTTTATTCATTTTAATAAATTAATGTTTCGAGTTTTTGGTACACTTATAAATTGAAACTCAATCTGTCAACTTATAAACTGAATAAAATCTATGATGCCTACTGTCTCTCGTAGAAACATTACTTTAACGTGATATACTCAAAATTATAAAACAACGTTGCTTCTATGATTTTTAACCTTAAAAAAATGGTAAAATTTTAAATTAAATTGTCCCCAGCGTATATTAAAATCTAAAAAAAAATGATACGTGGATTTATTGCCATTAATAAGGTCTACATTTTATCATAATTTCAAATCGATATGTTTTTAAATAAAAATATCGACGACAAATTTGTTCTTGTTTCATTTTAAATCAAGTATTAGCACGAATAATAAATAAACGACAAAATTTTACCCCATTTAGTGGGTGGTTTGCAAACAAACAGTGAGAAGTCTACACGAAACTCGTTTTGTTTATGCGTGACAAAAACTGGTTTTAGCATGATATTTTTTGCTATTGTACAAATATTGCGCTTGTTCTTTTTAATTTTGCTTTATTTGTCCTTTGTACGTTTTAGCAGTAGACAGCGGTTTTACGTGTGTTAAATGAAATGTATGAAATTTACCTACTTTTGTTTAAGTTTAATATTAAATTTGCAATTTGGTTTTTCTTTGTTTTTCGAGTGATATGATAAACAACGTAGCAAACAGCAAACAATGTAAAAACAATATGACAAACAAATCATAAAGTGTGTTTCTTGAAATATACAATTGTGTATAACTGTGATCTAAAATACTTGTGTTTTATATTTTAAAAATATGCCATCTTATTTCTATAGGAGAGTAACAACAATGCCATTATAAAATCCGCCTACACAGACAACAAAATAAGACTGATAAGTACACTTTCCTTTCCTTTTGTTACTTGGAAGGACAGTGGACAATACACGTGCATGCAGCCTTCCACAAAGGAAGACAGAGTGCAACTCACAATCATTGAAGGTAAATTTGGCAAACAGAATTTTTATCTATCCCATTCCAGACTGTAAGCAACAATAATAAGAAAGGTTTCTGAGAATCTCAGTGGCGGCCCGTCAGGGGAGGCAGGTGAGGCAGTGTCTCATCATAGAGAATTAAAAAATTAAGTATAATTTAAATATTTTACTTTCTATAATACACTGAAAGAAATATATACTAAAGTTAAATAAAAAAATAATTAGGGCAAATATATTTTATGTTTCATATTTGGACTACCACATACATTGCTAAAACAAATATATTCGTTTGGTTAGCAGCCTATTGCTGCCCTAGCAATATAAATGTGTTTCTAGCAATATTTTTTTGCTGTAATTCACTTATAGTTTACATTTATAGTAAGGGTAAGTTTATTTTTATTTAGATCTAACATATCTTCTTTACAATAAATGTATTACAAAATTTAACATACATTCATAATAAACAGTAGTATAAATGTGTAAAGCACTAGTATAAAATTTTTAGTATAAATTTGTGTTTACTTTTAGCAACAAATTTCTTTCAGTGTATACTATAAATTTTTAATATTTGGATTACATGAATTGTGAAATAGTCAATAAAATTAATTGATTTTATACGTGGAATACCCATCAACATTTAAATTATTTGAATTTGAAACGACCGCAATTTAAACTAATATTTATAGCTAGATGATTGGCTCAAAAGCATGCCTGAACTAATTTAGACTCACGATTGGCGTTAGCCTTGTTGTCTCGTTCTATTACAATGCGATATCACAGTTGTCTCCTTCTCTCGTATTAGCATACGCGAGGCAGGCACGCCTACATCCAAGGAAATAAGCAGGTGTTGTGGCAACACTGTTGCGGAATTTTAGATGAATTATACTTCACGCGTTTTTCAAAATTCAATAATAATTGGTATTATTTTTCTTATAATTAATCGATTTAATCGAAATTACATTTCTATTCTAAAATAAACATATTTTAACACTATCGCCATCTTGTAGCCATCACAGTAACCAATAAAATAAATACAGGTTCCTTCTTTAGGTTTGTTTTGGTTATAAAATTCTGAACTGTTTAAAGAACAAATCTGTGGTTATTTACGCAATATTTTGTTTATTCCTTTTCTATGAGTTTGTCTATTTTATGATTCTTTTGTAAGTGGTTTATTCTGTGGGTTTAGTTAATTGAACTTGGTGATTTATGTGAATTTAGTCATTATGGATATTACGGTGAGAAATTGTGCCGATATTGTTGACCTTCACGTGGTTTTGCTGAACAATGAAATATTAATTAGACAAAAATGAGGTTTATTTAAAATATACGTACCTAATTTTTACAATTAAATATATTTCATTGAAAAAGTAGAGGATTCCTTCCCCACTACAGTCTAAGTTTTTTACTTAGTTTTAAGTATAGGTTGTGAACTGCGCCGTCAGTTTTTTTAAGTTGGGTTTAAAAAAATTTCTTCGCCTTTAAATGAGGGCGAAACCCTGCCTCTGCCTCACCAAAATGAAATGTCACGGGCCGCCACTGTCTGAGATAGTATATTTCTTTTGATAAGTGTTTCAACTTTGACTTAGTAATTTATCTAAAATTAATATTAACTAACTAATGTAACATATTTTAATTAATTTCCTATATTCCTATTAGTATTTTTCAAAATATTTTTTATTGAATTGTTAACTTAACTTACGCTAGAACGAATTTTACATTTTTTTAAGGTAAAAGTTAACAACATTATAAAAATCTCGAAACTGTTTTATTTACTTGTGACACTTTTGACCCTTATACTTAAAAAACTCAATAATTTCGGAAAAAAAGAAATCGTAGTAAAAACCAATAAAAATGATGATTTAAGGAATACAGTTATTGGACAAATGTCCAATATTAGAAATTAAACATATTTTTGTTAATTGTGTCCGATAAAGCTTGAATTATAGATTGCCTTCCTTCCTTCCTCCCGTAGTTGTGCCCGTACGATTTGTGCGTCTTGTAAAAAGTCAATTTCTAGATTTCCGTGTAAAATTCTGTAACCATGCGCGATGACACCTAAAATGGTTGACATTTGTTTTTGTCTATATTCTGCGGTTTACCCATTGTATGTAAATATGAAAGATAATCATTTATATATTAGTGCAGTGATCACAATTTTAATTGCCTAGGCAGCTTGTTGTATACTGCCCAACTATGGAGAAAGGCAGTAACTGCTAAACAAGAAATTTGTGGGAAATTAGCATAAACTAAATTTTTATAAAAAGCAGTAGGTGTTTAACTGATTTATTTAACTTAAAATATAGGTTACTGCATTTCTTTGTTGAATTAAGATACAAAATGTCCATAGCTTTATCATAGGACAAGAAAAAGCATTTGTAGTTCTTCATAGAAGGGCAGTATAATGAAAAAAAAACATCGAATAAGACGTTGGAAGACTCGCCCACTTTACCAAGACCGGGAAACTACGGGGTTTTAAAAAGCAACGTTTCTAAAAATGAAAGCCATTGATCATAAACAATATCTAAATATCCTATTTAGAGACACAAATTATTTAATAAACTGAACACCTATCTTAAATAATACTAAACAATCATGTATTTTAAATATTTTGTGCCTACGCGCTGTCATCTTACAGCGCATGTCCATAACAAGCAATGTGATTGGTCATGTCAAAGACCTTTACGGTGAAAGATAAAACTTAAAAATTTCTACGGGAGGAAGGAATGCCGTCCTTACGGTACGGGAATCTATAACTGGCAATACGATTTAAATAAACATTTTTGACGTAATTGTCACCATTAACATTGCCCGTTATTAATTTTAATTAAACTTAACATTTATTGATACTTTAAAATATTAAAATAACTTCAAAATATGATTTTGTTAAGAAAATATTATATTCTTTGATTTTTTTCATTACTAAAATTGCAAAATATTATCACAAAGTATTAAAGATTACTACACGGGAAATGTTAATGGTGACAATTACGTAATGTTCATCTTCTACGGGAGGAAGGAAGGAAGGAAGGCAATCTATAATTCAGGCTTAACTGTCTAGTTTACCCTAATTATATATTTATTTAGGGATTATCTTTATAAACGAACTGAAAAAGTATTTTTGTTAAGGTGAACATTCCGAAGCCATGCAAAGAGACTTCCCCATATCATCAGGGGTACCAACAAAACCAACAACAATTCCTCTACTAATAAACATCCATCTAGCATATAATTTGTATCATATTTTACTGTACCTTAATAAACTCTTATAATATTTTTTATTTACACGACTGTATTTTTATTTACCTTTGATTTTTTCCATTCCTTTCCTAAAAAGAACTGAGGGGTGTTTGTACATTTTCTTCCCATTTGCAATGTCACTATTTACTCAAATATTAAAGCTTTAAAGGACAATAATAATCTTCATTGTGATTCTCCGAGTTTTGATTAATTACTGAAGTATTGTGTCGTTGGACCCTATTCAAAATTCCTGATGAATTATCAGTCCTTGCCTTTTCCGAGATTCCATTTAAATCCATTATTGATACAATGGAAAGCGGCGTAAACAACAACAAGAAAACAAGAGCTCGTTTATTCCTTTTCCTCACGCATCTCCAACGCAATTTTTGACACTATGGGAGTTTCTTAGATTGCAAATGTTGGCCATAACACCCGTCTCTATTATCTTTTATGGTCCAATATAAATTCGTTCTTACTCGAATTCTTGATGAATGAATGCCTTCTTATACTTTCTCACAGCGTTATTGTTTTATATGAGTCTGAATTTTTTGATTTTATTCATCATAAAATATGATAAACAGTTTCTATAAAGCTAAAAATCATATATACATAATATTCGTATTTAGTTCACAGTTTATTAATAATAAATAAATCAGTGCTTATTAATAGTAAATTTTAGTTTCGTAAATAATGATTATTATAAATAAGGCGCATTTTCTAACTAATAAATCTATTAGGGTGTCCCAAAAAAAAAGAATATTTTTTTTCTTCTCTTCTCTTGTGAAAATATGTTGGTTTGTCATGTTTTAAGAGCCCTGTCAAAAGATCAGCACCATTAAAAAATTTTTAAGGGTCGCTCAAGATTTTTAAAAATTACCAAAATCGTCAAAAATTGGATTTTTTTTTATTTTAATTTTTTTTCTCTTTCCGATATTATTTTTTAATTTAAAAATAATAATGATTCTGAAAATTTTAAATCGATATTTTAATTTCTAAAGGTTGCTCAAGATTTTTTTAACTTTCAAAGTAGAGTATTTTGAATGTTTTCGAGCGACCTCTGAATATAAATATCAACGAACTTTTAGCGACCTTTAGTAATCAAAATATTGATTTGAAATTTACAGAATTTTTATTATTTTCAACCTAAAAAATAATATCGAGACGAGAAAAAGAATTAAAATAAAACAAAAATTCAATTTTTGACCATTTTGAAAATTTTTAAAAATCTTGAGCGACCCCTACAAAATTTTTAATCGAGCTGATATTTTGAAAGGGCTCTCACAGCATGATAAACTAACATATTTTTACAAGAGACAAGAAAAAAAAATATATTCTTTTTTTTTGGGACACCCTAAAATCTATGTTGTTTGAAATAAATATGATATATTAATAATTAACAAATGGAATATCGTAACGCTTCGTTTTATCTCGGACGATTCACTTCACTTTAAAATGTCACGTAGTGACATCTTTGCTGATAAAGGTGGTGGTGGTTTGTGCTCTGTTTGTGCTTTTGCATCATTTTTCATATAATAAGGAAATTTGTATTACATATAAACTGTTGCAGTGATTGTGTAAGTACATAATATTATTTTTCTATGGTGTTGAATGCTAACAAAACAAAAATAGGTCCTTAAACATGGATGTTGACATGGACATAATAGATTTTAAACTGTTATACGGTTTAGAAGATCTGGCTAATACTTTTAAAGGTAAGTTCATGTGTTTTTAAACAAAATAATAATTGATGCCTTCTTATTTCGTTGAGTATTGGCTGACTTTTGGCGCCGTTTGTTTTAAGATGTTTCCACGTGTTGACTAACCCGTTACTAATAAATAAAGTATATTTACTATAAATTCACTTGTTAATTATTAATCAGATAAATTTAAAGGAAATCAGGTTATATTTATTACTAATACATTTTTCAGATAATGGAGTAGATTCTTTTAAAGTACATCTGTGTTTAAAAATTTGACATTTGACGGTGACACACAGATTATCATATTATTATTATTATCATAGATGGCGCTCTATAGAAATTTTTGATTTAGATTATTTTAAGATAATTAGGTATTTGTCGTAGAAAAAGTATAGTATGCACCTCGTTTATAAACTTTTCTATACACTAATTAATTTAAGCACTCGCTTGCAAGCTCGCTCGTGCCTAAATTAAATTCGTGTATAAAATGGCGTTTATCAAATTTGATACATAATGTACTATTATGATTAGGACAGAACTGTATTTGTAATAAATATGTATATATTTAGAATAAATTTAGCATATCGTCGTCAATATAATATATACGAGGTGTGTTCAGAAAATAACCGGAATTGTTCAATTTCGCGGGTTCGGAGGGTCCGGTTGTCATAAAATTGTCTTTATTATGTTGGTATACAAGCCTCCGAAGTATGATAAAAACTTTAGCTGTTTTCATTGTTTACTTTGTCTGTGGCAGCCGCTAAAGTTAGACGTGTTTTATGAGCTCGGCGATTTTTCGTTCGTTAAAATAAGTGGATCAAAGAATTTGTATCCAATTTTGCTTAAAAATAAAATAAATTCTGTGAAATGTTAACAAAGGCCTATAGTGAGTCTGCTATAGGTAAAACAAGAGTTTACAAATGGAATAAGAGTTTCCAAGATGGCCGTGAAGACGTTAAGATAACGAACGCCCCGAACGCACAAGCACATTAAAAAAGTGGAAGAAATGGGTGTAAAACATCAGAGAAGTCGCTGATGATGTTGGTATATCGATTGGTTCATCCTATGAAAATTTTTCGAATGTTTTGGGTATGAAACGCGTGGCAGCAAAATTTGTTCTAAAATTGTTAAATTTTGAAAATTTTTTGCCAAAAACAATACTGTAATGATGCCCCAGCCTCCATATTCGCCAGACATGCCTCTGTCTGACTTTTTCCCAAAAATAAAGAGAACCTTAAAGGGCCGTTTTGCAAGCATAGATGACATTAAAAGCGCATCGCTGAAAGAACTAAAGGCTATCCCAAAGATCGAGTTTTAGAAGTGTTTCGAGTATTGGAAGAAGAGCTGGCACATGTGCATAATATCCAATGGGGACTATTTTAAAGACGACAACATTAATGTAGACGAATAAATAAATATTTGTTTCAAAAAAAATTCCCGATATTTTCTGAACACACCTCGTATATTAATCAATTCAGTTTATCGATAATAAATAAGGGTTTGGTTGTTTTTTAATACAATTTTATTTCTTACAGATTAAGTATTGGTTTATAATAAATAAATTTTTATTTAGCACAAAAAAAGTGTATTAAAGTAATAGTTACTAATAAATTATTTGTTTTTTAAAAATAATTATTTATTCCGCCATTATCAAATATTTATTTGTTGTTAAACAACATCATTAATTATAAATAAACTGTTCTTTCAGTGTACTACACATACAAAATACAAACTTAATTAAGAAAGCGAAAACTGTTAAAACCAAATTAATTAATTTGGCTTTTACGGTAAGTGCTTCCTTTCAACAGTATCTACGTAGGTACCTACCTTTGCTTAATTAGGACATTAGGTTTACTGAGACAAAATGGACTTGTCTCTTAAATTTTAATATCAGTTACTATAAAATAAAAAATTAGTTAAAGTCATTTTAAGCATTTTATTAAAAAAAAACTAACAATTACATTTTTTATTCCAAAATTGTTAACATTGACGATCATATAAAATTGATAGTCGAAAATTATATGTATATTGTAAAAAAAATTATTATATTATTATAAAAACTAATTCAATTGCACGCGATTGAAAGGCCAAACCATTTAATTATTTTATTAATCTATTTAAACGTAATACATACCTACATACACTTCTCAGTAGAAATTTTGACCTGTTACTTTTGGAAAAAATAATTAGTTTCTTTAAAAACAAATAACGCCTATTCTATCTAGGAATTAGATAGTAACACTTAATTGATTTTCCTTTTTTAGTTTTTCTAGGCTGCAAATTTTCGAAAAAAAAAATTAAAACCTTTTTTAACTTTATATAACACTAGTTTACAGTTATTTTGCCCACCATGTCTCACTATGATTTTCTTGTGTAGTTTGGCTCACTAAAGGCCAAAATCACACATACATTTTTTTTCATGTAAGCGTTTTCTAGATATGAATTTTCAATGTTTTTTTTTTTTAATTTTCTGCGGTGTTTTAACGTTTTAGAGTAAAATTTAGTTTTTCGAGAATTTTTACGTTTTTTCTTAATTTTATCGAATTATATAAAATTTAATTTTACACATTAAATATTGAAATTAAATTATAAATTGAATATTAAACAATAAATATTGAACATTGAAGATATTAAAAGTTTTATCTTGTTTTAATAAGCATAGGTTTAAAAAAATTCTGGCTCCTTTGTTTTTTGTTGTATTCGTATTCAGTTTCTCGTATGAGGGACCAAATGTAATCACCCATCATGGCTGCATTCCAGAAGCCGTGATACCGCCGCTCCATAGCCTTCATTTGCTGGTGAAAACGTTCTCCGTGCTCATCACTTACGTCGCCCAGATTGTGCGGGTTATTTACGCACTCGAACTCTCTACTTCTTTTACTCATTTTACACTTTTTATTAACTAAATAAAACCATGATAAAAATACCTTGTTGAAATATCAAAAAATAGCAGTTAAATATCACTATGCCAATACGAGAAACAAAAGAATTCACGTTTGCGGAGTCATGTCAAATTTAAAGTTTTCGGTCAAAAAAGTACGTAAAAAACTCAAAAAATTTCAATTATTCACTTTACTTAGGTTTTCATTAAAAAATAAAAGAACAAAATAAAATAAAAATCGTCAAAAAGCTGAATTTTGGTCTTCCACTAAAAAATTCATAACTTCGCCATTTTTTCATGTATTTAACATTAGCTTGTTTTATCCGTTTGATTTAAACCCTTCCCAGGACGATATGTAAATTTTAGACCTCTATTTTTGCCATAAAAACGATTTTTTAAGTTATCGCTAGCGTCAAAATCCATCCGATATCAAAAGTATGT